TTGCTTAAAGCTAATTTGGTTTGAACAAACAATATAATGATCAAAATTTGAGCAAAACCACCAGACAAAGCCAGTGTTAATACGACAGGGTTAAGAAGTATTTTCTCCCAATTAAGACTGTCTACATGAGTGGCGTCCTCTGTAAGAGACAGACTCTCACCCTAGAGGTTGATGGTTCAAGACCAGTCCGTCTCTTTTGAAAGTTGCGATTAAACTTAATTATTTTGGCTGATGAGACTAATTTGCATTGTTTTGCCCGAGTAAAAATATAGATTGGGTAAATTAGGTCGGTTTAGTTAAAAGATTGGTTGAACACAACTTCCAACCTGATTAAAACCAAAAAAAAAAAGTTTATTTCACTAAAATGGCAGAAAAACGGTGCACCTTAAATGAGTGTTCTAGGAAATTTTACACTAAAAAAAAACTTACAAAAGATTTTATTATACACACCAACCATTAACAATTTCAAGGGCACTTAAAAGGGGAAAAAAAGAAAAACAATTGCAAAAAAAATCACTGATTTTATTACAAACTGTAGTTCTGCTGTCCACCAGTAGGTGGTGACATGTTCACATGAAGCCTCATGAACTGTGGGGATCGTTGAAGCAACTTGGCCAAACGGTTCAATGCCTCATGAGGCTTCATCTCACCATCACTACTATACAGCAAATTTCGGGTTGAAACAATGCTAGTAGTTGCAGACAACGATGTAGAGCTGATATTTTTAAATGACTGTCGAGTTCAAAGTCCACAAGCATCAACAAAACTCAGTTTTTAGCAAACTTCGGCACGTTTTTTCTCCGTGGTCAAGCTACAACACACTCCTGCAACTTCATGTCTCTCATGTTGCACCTCGCACTTCCTGTATATGGACCAATGACAAACCAGTAAAATCCTTCCGGTCTACACTACTTCCTTTATGCAACATGAGACATTTCAAAATAAAACAAGATGTGAAAATTCTTTCTAACAAACATTTTTTAACAAAACATTAACATTGTTAATATTTTTAAGATATACTGTTCTGTATAAACAACATTTTTAACTTATTTATTACAGCTTTAACTGATTAAATGTTGAACACTTAAAATCAATACATGAATTCAAAACAACCAACCCATGACCATTTTAAAGAGGGTTACATTCAGTCTTATATATTCTTTTAAATTATGACAAATATTGTTTTTATATAAAGACTGCAGGAAGCACCAGCTTTGAGATCCAGTCTCCAGCATTGTAAACCACAAGGATGTGAACATAAACAAAGGTTTTATTTTTATTTATCATAAAAATACCATGAATAACCAGTGATTAGAACTGCTTATTTTAATAACTTGTGTCTTTTTACCAGTTTGACACAATTGGAAATTTTTTACAAAAAGACGATAAATGAGGCTCGGTAAGAAATTTATTATTTTGTCATTTTGTACAGACAATAACAACCTATACCTATACCTACTAGTTTGCTAATATTAGTTTAGTGTTTGATCATAACTGAACTTGTGTTGTTTCTCAAAGTTTTATTTTTCCCTCCATAGCTCTGCTGCTGCCCAAAAAGAAAAAGAATTGAAATCTCTCAAAGACAGGTACTGAACATAGAGCTGATAAACTAGATTTATTGAGCTGCAGCATAAATAATCAGACTGTAACTGTTTGACAGACTGGCAGCACAGGTGGCCATTTCCCTTAAAACAGGAAACACTGAGAGCATGAACAACCCGGTCAGTAAAACCAGACTGACTGAGATGTACGACAACCTGAAGCTGCTGCAGTGGCCGAACATCAAAGATCGGCTGAAGTCCAGGAAGATCGGACCAAAGGAGGCCAAAGATCTGATCCAGGTGGAGTAAAGCTGCTCTCAGGAAGTTCACCTGCCAGACTTTATAACACTGAGTGTCTCATGGGACTGATAATGAACTGACCTCTGTAGAGAACCTTTGGAGATGCAGCAGAAGAAATGAAGAGAAGGAAGCAGCAGATAGAGGAGATGTTCCAGGAGACCAGGTCCAGCAGTGGACTTACTCCTCAGAAGGTACCGGACTCTAGAGCAGATTCATTAAACAGCTGGAGGAGATGTGTGAGCAGCATGGTTCCTGTGTTACAGGTCAAAGAGTACAGACAGCTGACAGTTCAGAACCTGCAGATGGCGCTGTTCCACACCAGCAAAGAAGATCTTTTTAAGGTTTGTTTGCTGATGATCTTTGCTGATGATCTTTGGAAACCAAACAGGATGTAGCTTCATTTTTAACTTGAATGGAGCAATCAGTGTTTAACATTAAATATTTCCTCCTCAGACTGGTTTCCTGGAACATGGAGGTCAGTCTCCAGGGGAAGGGAAGGAGGATCTCAGACTTCTGGCCTCTGAATGCTACTGGCTGGGCTGCTTGATGGCTTTAAACAATCCTCCTCTTCAGCCTGACTGGAAGAACCACTTTCCTGGGTTTGACTCCTGGGATATCTTTCCTCGAGACATCCAACCGTCTGACTTGTAGAGGAAGCAGATGCACCACTGCAGAAAACACATTCTGACATCATTTTATCATAACTAATTGTTTTAACTTGTAGTTGTGTTCATTTTGGGTTTTCTTTGGCTTTATAAGTATCATAGTGACAGAATGAAGAAAAAACAAATATTATGGGGATTATTTTAAGCTTAAAACTGATCCTACAGGGAAACATAACTTTTTTTTCCACCCTGAAAAACACACCCACTACAGAAAAACACAATAACAGAGATATACATCCATTGTATCATTATGTGGTTAAACGTACTGCCTTGCAGGAAGAAGGTCTCAGCTCAGGATTTCACATCGTCTCCTGTTTTGTCCAGGTCAAAAACATGACCGTTAATGATGAATGAAAAATCCTCATGTCGTGGCAAAAAGTATTCAACTATTCCCCCCAGTTAAATAAACTCAATGGATTTCACTCAGTCTGCACTTTATTTTATCTTTGTAAAGTGACATTTCCTCTTACGGCCCTTATTGCATGGTTATCAGCCCTGTTCTGATCTGGGCAGCGTTCGTTCCCCCTTAATTACAAAAACAGGAAGTAGTCAGAGTCAAAACAAATTACAGACACTTTGGTTAAACAGTAGCATGAGAGAAATTCAGGGACGTTATGGGAATATGTACGTCTTTTCTACAAACACCTCTCATGCAGTGGAATTCTGTGGCCTTGCAGATGAAATAGACTGAGTGAAAACTTTCATAGTGAGTAAATAGGATAAATCAATATATGGAATAACAGAAATCTACATTTTCTGACCACATTTCCACCCTTTTGTGTATAAAAGGA